AATCTCCATTACTAGAAAAGGGAAAAGAATAGCTAAGAATATACATATTCAATCGCCACAAAATCAAAATAAATTTTACAAAGTAGGGAATTTAAGACCCAGAAAATTACAACACGCATTGGGGAAGCACATCCAGAAAATGACCACTACGTATTTAACAACTACACTGGATTTGGACACAGATAGAGAGCAGATACAGCCTCACCTTTATCATCTCCTCATGAATTCCAACATGAGCATAGGAGTGAAAGTAGGCCTTGTCGAATTCAGTACAAGGAGGGGTAGGCCTTTCTTCTTCATCTTGCTGCTGGTGTTGCGAATGAGAAACCCTAGCCCCACTCTCGACATTGCCATTTCCATGGGTGCGTACTCTGCCGCGGCTGAGCCTTCTTCTCCCACGGCGGCCTGCAGCGAGGCTGCTGCCATCTCCGTCGTAGTGGTAGCCATTGCTAGAGCCGGAACTAGACGATCGGAACATTTCCTTGTTCCAGCAACTGCCTCCTCTTCTCAGTCAACACGGAGGTCAGCCGGGAGACCACAGTTCTGAACTAGACTTTGCAGGGTTTAAGATCCACCCTGACGACAATACAAGAGATGGATGTTTGGCTCAAAAATAGAATTGGATCTGTCAAGACATTAAAAAAAAGTTGGGAGAAAATGAAATGAGTTTTAAAAACTGAAAAAGTTAGATAATATTGAAAAAATAAAGTGTTAAAAAATTCATTCAATTAAATATTGATCCAAATAAATACTTGGTCCGTCCCTAAATGTTTGTCCACTTTTGACTTTTGGAACTGTTCATCTAAGCACTTTAACTCATCAAATTTTCTCAATGTGTAAGCCTAAAAATTGTCATGTGTGATCTTGTTTGATTCGTCTTAACATATAGATTATTAATATATAATTTTTATAATTTTTTAATATACAAATTACAAGATAAAATGGATTAAAGAAGTGCATTGGATGATGTGCAAAAATGAAAGTGGACAAACACTCAGGGACGGAGGGAGTATATAGTAAAACTAATTTTAGAAATATAAAAAATTTTTGCTTGTTATTAAGTATAAGAAAAGTGTTCGGAGCTATTACAATATGAACTCTATGAAGAAGTGGAATTTTCATAGATTAATTATGAGAGGAATACATGTATATATATATATATACAAAGTCTCAATCCTAGTTATGGTAGGAGAGATATTCTAGGAAACTATACAACTATGGAAACAAATCATAATACAATAATATTAAATATATTTTATATATTTAACATGCTCCCGGCTACGTCGGATGTGCTGGGGGTCGGATACCCAGGCTCTCTCTGAAGTCAAGAAATAAGAGGGAGGGCAGTCCTTTCGTGAAGATGTCGGCAAACTGAGAAGATGAAGGAACATGGAGAACTTTGATCTGACTAAGCGCCACTTTATCGCGTACAAAGTGTATATCAACCTCGACGTGCTTGGTGTGCTGATGTTGCACCGGATTTGATGATAGGTACACAGCACTGACATTGTCACAGAAGACGATTGTGGCGCGACGAAGTGGTTGTTGTAGCTCAAGAAGAAGGTTTCGGATCCAGCAGGTCTCTGCTACGGCATTGGCAACTGCCCGATATTCAGCTTCGGCACTAGAACGAGAGGTGGTGGCCTGGCGTTTGGATGACCAGGAAACGAGATTATCACCCAGGAACACACAGTAACCAGATGTGGAACGTCGAGTGTCGGGACAATCAACCCAATCTGCATCAGAATAAGCCTGTAGGTAGTCTGTGGCTGAACGTGTCAACTGGATCCCGTGGGTGGCGGTGCCACTGAGATAACGTAGGACGCGCTTCATGGCAGTAAGATGAACATCACGTGGAGCATGAAGATGTAAGCACAGTTGCTGAACAGCATATGTGATGTCAGGACGAGTGAATGTAAGATACTGCAGCGCGCCAACGATAGACCTGTAAAAAGAGGGGTCGGAGAGGGCCGAGCCAGCTGTGGTAGATAGTTTCGCCTTCATGTCCACTGGAGTAGAGATGGGTTGGCAGGAGACCATCCCTGCCCGCTCAAGAATGTCATGGGCAAACTGAGTCTGGTGGAGGAAGAGGCCAGTGGCAGTACGATGCACATTGATCCCGAGGAAAAAATGCAGATCACCCATGTCTGTCATGGAGAATTCAGCCTTAAGCTGCTGAATGAGACTCTGGAGAAGTGTAGCGGAGGATGCCGTCAGTACAATGTCATCAACATAAAGGAGCAGGTAGGTCGTGCCCATAGGCTGAGAGAAGATGAAGAGGGAAGTGTCGGCCTTACATCCTCGGAAGCCGATAGTCTGTATGAAACCTGCAAACCTGTGAAACCAAGAGCGGGGGGCTTGCTTAAGGCCATAGAGAGCCTTCTTGAGTTTGCAAACATAGTGAGGGCGAGTGGGATCCTGAACCCCGGAAGGCTGGCTGGCATAAACGGTTTCCTGTAGCTGACCATGAAATAACGCATTTTTGACATCAAGTTGATGAATGGGCCATCCGCGAGACAGAGCAAGGCTGAGGACAATACGGACAGTGGCAGGCTTGACAACGGGGCTGAAGTCTCGTCATAGTCAACGCCAAAACGTTGATTGAAACCGCGAACCACCCAA